TGTGGACACCGACGACAAGAAGGCCTCCCATTTCTGCAATGGCCTGACCAGAGACCTTCGAGTGCTCGTAGCCAGCCATGGCTATTTGACTTATGTTGAGACGGTTGAGCGGGCTCAGCAGATTGAGGTATCCCAGCTGCTAGACACTCCTGCACAGCCACTAGCTCAAGTGGCACCACTAGCCAGACAGCCAGCTGCCATCCAGCCAGCCCTGCCAGCGCCACCTCAGCAGGCGCAGCACCGACACAAGAGGAAGTGGAGAGGTCGCGACGATAGGAGGAACCGTCGACCAGGAGCCCCAGCTTAGGCAGCACCACCGGTCCCGCAGCCCCTAGCTATTTGCGCTATTTGTCAGCGCGTCCACCGGGGAGAGTGCCTAGCTGGGCAGGACATTTGCTATCGTTGCCGCAGGCCCGGTCATAGGATCACAGACTACCCAGATCGCCCACAGCCGCAACAAGGGCAGAGACCGCCAGCTCATTGACAGCAAGCACCGAGACAGCCAGCTCAGCACTCTCCTCGAGGTGCACCTGCCCGCATTTATGCACTTGACCAGGAGCAGGCCGCGAGCAGCCAGGTACCATGTCTGGCATGCTCTCTTTACTCGATGTACCTGTCTTTGCTTTGGTCGATACCGGGGCGACACATTCATTCGTCTCGGCCAAGTGTCTAGAGGCCATAGGGGTCCAGGGTGTGAGTGACGTCGACCCCCTCGAGATCAGCCTAGCTTCGGCAAGGAAGATAGTCACGAGTTCCCTGGCCAAGAACCTTAGCATGTGTATTGGAGGCAGAACTCTAGAGGTAGACGCATTCGTGATCGAGATGAGGGACTTTGACCTTATTCTCGGCATGGATTGGTTGGAGAGATATCACACAGACATCCGATGCCGTGATAGAGAGGTGACGTTGCACTTAGCCGATGGAGACCACATCACATTCTTCGGGATGAGGACGAGGACTTTACCGCGTATCATTTCCATGGCGAAGGCGACTAAGTGCCTACGGAGGGATGATTGTTAGGGCTATCTAGTCACTATACTCGGGGAACCTTCGGCGGAGTGCATGCCCAGAGATGTACCCATAGTGAGAGATCTCGTGGACGTTTTTCCGGATCAGCTACCGGGAGGACCACCTAGTCGTCAGGTGGAGTTCACGATCGACCTGTTGCCTGGAGCTGGGCCAGTGTCGAAAGCTCCGTATCGTATGGCGCTGAAAGAGCTTCAGGAGTTGAAGGCTCAGATTTAGGAGTTGTTGGGTCTCGGCTTCATCCAGCCGAGCGTTTCACCTTGGGGAGCACCTGTCCTCTTTGTGAAGAAGAAGGACGGGACACTGCGCATGTGCATCGACTACCGGGACTTGAACCGGTTGACGGTGAAGAACA